TTTTTTTTTTTTTTTTTCCACACACACACTCTATCTAGTCATACAGATTCGGACTGAAGATTATGCAAACTCTAAGTTACATCACAGTTCCCTCTATTTTCAAAAAGGCTGGCTATAAGCCATATGAAAAACAACTTATATTTTATAGCTGTTACAGATTAACGAGGTTCCAAGACCAACAGAATCATTCATTCCATATACTGTGTATACTAGAATCAAACTTTATCTACTGAATGACTTTGAAAAGTTGGATTATACAACTTCATTTCAGCCTTCAGAAACATATGGCACCTGAACTGCCTGTCAAGAACTACTCCACATCTTCTGGTCAATTCTCACTTATCAGAGACAAACCAGATTTGAGATTCAAACTAGATTAAGCTTTAACTCCAATGAAATAAAACCCAACAATCCACCAAGCCTCATTCTCCCCCTGCTCTCACTCACATGCAGTGCTAATTCTCCCAGATGCTGGATTAAAGTCTTCTCTTAAAAGCCTCTTTGAAAGGACCTTAAGAAACAGCAAATTAAACACTTCTCAGGAAGCTGTTTGTTACTGAAGAGAAGCTGCGTCTTATCGTAAGATGATTTCAACAAGATGTTGCAGCTTTGCAGAAAGCAGTTCAGGGACTTCAAGCTGTGGTTAAGAGACATGAACACCATCGGGAAGAATTTAGTTTATCTCACCCTCTGCACAGAGCTGCATGAAAAGCACTCTTCCTCTTAACCTCTAAAAGGGGAATTACTTTTGTTGGTCACCACAGGCTTTGTTAAGAAGTTCTTGCAAGCTTTCTATCTCCACCTTATCACGCAATTTTAACTACAGTGTAATTACACAGAATATAGACAGCACGTGATCACGTAGATGCAAATTGTAGCCTCGCAGTGTATATTCCTATCTGGATTGTGTGCAGAGTGTCAGCAGCTTCCCAGAAGAAAGGCAATTTGTGCTCATTTAGAAGTTGTTCTCCAGAACATTCCCTTATTCAGCAGCTGTATTTAGACACAGCTGAGTCATGCCTGCAGGCTCCGTGCTCAAATACCAAAGCTGCGTCTAGAAAGGGTGCCCGAGGCGCTCCTGACCCTGGAGCTGGCAGATCGCTGCTGACTGCTATCGGGCAGGAAGCGGCCGGCTGCCCTAATCGCGCTGCCAGTCTGTTTTCCTGTAAATCCATATGGTCCCTTAGTTGAGTCGGCTGCCCGGCTCGGCTCGGGCAGTGCTGCCTGACTCGGCAGCGGGGCAACGAACTCTCCCGCCTCTGATACCGAGGCTTCCCGAGGAGGCATTTCAGTCCGCCCTGGGGGACGTCTTTAATAAAGCCTACTTCTCGCAGCTCGGCCCCCCACCCCCGAGACCCTCGGGGGGGCCGGCGCCCCGCAGGAGAGAA